GGGGTCCCCACTGGGGTTCCTGGCCAGTCTGGGTGAGGGACTGAGGGCTGCTTTCAGGCTGGCGGTTGTTGACTGAAGCTCCCAACCGCTCCTTTTTTTTCTCTTTTTTTTATTTTATTCTGGGCCAGCTTTAACTCTGGCTCTAGCTCTGAGGCTTCCGCTGGTTTGTTTGCATTCTATAATCGAAACAATGTATAACTCCAGCTCTGAGATCCCGGGGCTTTGTTTAGCTTCTATATTTGTTACAAAGTTTCAAACTGCCAGCTCAAAGGCCGGCAGCGCAGGCGGGGAACGTTGGAGTCCTCCTTCACTGCAGCAAGCAAGCCTCATGTTCGCTTCCAGCTGCCTGGCTGCCGGCCGCCATCTTGGCTGACAGTTAATTTGCATATACTCACTGATTAGCCAATGGGAAGGGTAGCGGTCGTACGCTAATTACCATGTTTCTCTTTTATTAGTGTAGATAGTTGGTATACAATATTATATTAGTTTTAGGCATACAATATAGTGACTCATCATTTATATACCTAACAATGTGATCATAGCTCTGTCTTTCCACTTGTTTTCAATCTCAATGGTACTTTTTAAAAAGAAGAACCACATGCCTCTATTTATTCTAGAATTCCTGTCATTGGTATCTTCTTTCCCTCATTTATGCTGTTGCCAATTCTGATTATCTCTATAGGAATAAACATGGCTGGTTTCTTACTTATCTAAGTCAGGTGGTTTAATCACCATCTCAGAGTCCAGTCATCCCACTCTGGGACCCCTGGCCTCTTGTCAAATACCCATCACCTGAGTCTTTTCAGTTATACTCTTGTTGCTTGAACCAAATCAGTTTTGGCCACAGTCATCCAAATGCCAGATGTTATAGTGATAGAGGGAAGTATCTCATATACTCCTCATGTTTATCATGACTCTCTAGCCTCTCACCCATTCCATTTAACAACCACTTTAGAAAAAGTATCACCCTCTGGATCATGCTCAAATAAAATTTCCAGCCCAGCGGGTGTGTTTTAGCAGTTGAGCATTGACCCAGGAACCAGGAGGTCACCAGTTCCTTCCCAGTCAGGACACATGCCCAGGTTGTGGGCTCAATTCCCAGTAGGGGTGATGCTTCTCTCTCATTGATGTTTCTATCTCTATCTCTCTCTCCCTTTCTCTCTCTCTAAAAATCAATAAAATATATTTTTAAAATTCCCAGCCTTCTTGAAACCCCTAGGCACATAAACTTCAAACTCAAACCCTGTAATACATGGGTATTTCTTTTTTAATCTTCAAATTGCCTTTCATCTCCCCTCACCAATTTTGCTCCCAACCCTCTTCATCAGCTTTTCCTCCTGAAATCAACTTCCTTGGACTCTTTTAGCAAAAGAGCTTCCCTCCTTTCACTGGGCACCTTGAAAAGTATGGATCTATACCCTTAACTACCTGTATTTAATAGTGGGCTTCTCTATCTCCAGTCTCATTTCACAAAACACATAAAGATTATATGTAGCCAATATCATAATTAAGACTGAGAGGAAGAGAGTAAGGCGGAAAGAAGAAAGATAGGGAGGAAGCAAAAGAAGGAGGGAGCCAGAGGATATGATGGAAAAGAAATATTTGGCACCATGAAATAGCAAATACCTTGTTGGTTCAGGATCTCACCATTTGGAAAAAAAATGAACTTTTGCTATTATTTTATTTGTCAACTTGCTACAAAATTTGTCTATAGGATTAAAATTTTAGATATTCTTTCAATATTATTATTCTCCCTACCTGTAACTGATGATAACTGAGCAAAGCCACTGCCAGAAAACCCCAATTAAGCTATTCTTTTTTCTGTTGTGAAAGGCATAATTTATAAAATGGTGACCTTTTGGTAGGCTAACAGTATGTTGATGAACTTCAAGTGAAGTGAAAGAAAAAAAAAGTGTTTTGTATTATCAGTGCTTACATTTTCTAAGGAATCACGTGAGGCAGTGGAGCTTTTAAAGGTCATAGTTTCTTTACTTTGAGAGATATTAAACAGCTTATGAAAATAGAGGTCAGCTACATGATAACTGGAAGAAAAGAGCATTCCCCAATGAAAAAGTAAGATATTCGTGATTACATTGACTATCCCTTTTCAAGATTGTATTTAATTGTCCCTAACCCCCCCTCCCAAATTGTATATAAATGCCATGACTGTAAATGAATGAATGTACAGGTCTTAAGATCAATAGCTATTGATTTTTCAGGATGGACGCTAATATGGTCAGCATATACTAACCATTACAATAAGAGCTAATGATCTCACAGCCTAAATAACTCCTCAGTAATTTTTATGTTTTTGCAGACATGTTATACATTTCTGGATTTTGCAAAAACGACCCTAAGTAGCTACTAGGAACATAAAATAAATAATCATTATTAGTAAGAAACTCACTTTTTAGAAATCATTTTTGCTTTGAAGATCACTAAAACAAATAAGAAATAAAAGACTACCAAGACTAGGTTAACATGGAGGCAAGGTACCAGACCACGTTAAAGAAGAAATGGAATGAGGGTATTTTGTCTGTGCACTACTTACTGGCACACAATGTATGCAATAGTAGGATTTCATGTGTGGACTGGAAGAAACCCTGGCCACAAGTTATTTCTCCCTTTACCCTAAGATATTGCTTGAAGTTCTTTTTAAAAGGGCACTGTCTTCTTTCATTCTGTCACTGTTAGGGGTTACTCTAAATGCAAAGCTTATTAGAGAAGGTAACCTATTGTCATAGTTTTAGTAGGTTTTAAACAGTTGATAAAGTGACCAAGAGTTCTCTTCAGAGAGGGAATGTTATGATACTTTGCTGGAGCAGATATTCACCAGGAAGTGGGAAGCCTGGGGACCAAAAGGCAATTCTTCTGAACTGACAGAGCAATCTTATCTGCCACCGGATCAGTTTCTATAACCCCGGAATTTATAAATACTGACCACAATATGAAACATGGAGGATGACAACACTAAACAAGAGAGGCTAGCTTTTAGGTTGTGATTTTCCATCTGGAAGTTCTCCTATCATCTGCTGACTATATGTCCTCAGGGAAGTCAGTGGTGGCCTCAGCCCAGAGTGCCCGTCATTGACAATAGCTCAAGGAATGGATGAGTGTGTCTGTGGGCGTCCTATGTCTACACACTCGTGTATGCCTAGAGTCATCAAAACATATGATGTGCCATCAAGGCTGTGCCAATAAAAATTTGGTGATTATTTTCAAATGTAGTCCATGGAGAAAAGAATCAGAGAGGGAATGTACAGATTGGTGAGTGTGTACACGCTAGTTGGTACCCACTCGGCTCTCCATCTGAAGTGTCTTACTAGTGATCCAAGAACTGTACTGGGACATACTTTGCTGGTGAGGAAACTCAATTGCTCCATTTTTGATGGCACATTAACTCTTTCAGGGCCCATTGAATAAATTAGCTCCTCTAGGTCATTAAGCCTATCTCTACAGGACATGACAATTTCTACCTGGCGTTGTATCTTTTACCCTAAAATCCCCCACACTTGCTCTGAGCACACACATATTCTTTGTCTACTCAGGGAGAAAGAATGTGTTCATTCAAATGTCATAATTGCTCTCTGATTGCAACTCAGTGATTCATTTTGCTTCCTTTCAGGGATCTCTAAGGATTTCCTGGTGCATAGTTGTCAACAGAGCCTCACTGTCTTAGTTGTCTAGAAATGGTATAATTTCAGGGGTTTTGAGTACAGTATTGTGTTCCCAAGTGTCTTTTCCTATATGCAAAAGCCAGCATTACTGATTCATTTGGGGTAGGAGTTGGGAAGATACTTCAGGATTCCATAGTCCTTTATTAAGTCCGCATTAAGAGACTGTGTTATCAGGACCCATTTCAGGGAAATAAATTGGCAACTATTTGAGAGAGGCCTATAGTGCCCCTCAAGAGGGTGTTTAGAAAAGTGTGCGGTGATTGGGGTGCCACAAAGGCTGGGAACATCATGGCCCTTAATAAGCAGGCAAGACAGAGTCTCACAAAAAATAATCTTTCTCTCCTAAATGCCAACAATTAGCCCTACTGAGAAGCAGTTTTGGAGGCAAAGGCAAATGTCACCTCTTTCTCTGCCGTGTTTAGGGCTACCTTGGAATATCATAAATTAATATACATTAAAACAGGCAAGGATGATTCCAAAGGGACACAGTATTCTCACTCAGAGATGTTTTAGAGCAGTGTTCCTTTCATATGCATCTCATATAAGTCATCTGGTATCCTTTTAAAAATGTCAGTTCTGATGCAGGAGGTCTGGATAATGCCAGGTTCTTGGCATTTCTAATAATCTCTTAAGTGATACTGTTGCTGCTGGTCCACAGAACACACTTTGACTAGAAAGGATTTATGATAAAATGCACATGATCTTGAATAAAGCATGGTCTTAGATAAAAAGATGATGAATATGAAAGAAATCTGACAATATCCTAAAAAAATAAATTTTAGGCCCGGAAGACTTTGAGTAATTGTTGAAAATCCCACCAAGAGCCCTGGATAGTGTGGCTCAGTTGGTTTGGCATTTTCCCGTGTACTGAAGGGTTGCTGGTTCCATTCCCAGTTCTGGCACAAGGCTGGGTTGTGGGCTCAATCCCTGGTAGGGGGTGTGCAGGAGGCAGCTAATCGATGTTCCACTCTGATGTCAATGTTTCTCTCTCTCTCCCTCTCCCTCCCTTTCTCTATTAAAAAAAATCAATAAAATACCTTTTTAAAAATCCCACCAAGAGATTGATAAAGCATAAGAAAGTATATACTTAGCATTCTTACCTATCTGAAGGTGTTAGTGAACATTTTCTGATGGTGTACTTCCTGAAGACACCAGAAGTAATTATTTCCTTATCTCCTTCACTGTCTCCTGTTGGTGAAGCGTTCAATAAATGTCAGTCTCATTAAATATTCCTTTACAAAATGCATAGCAGAGCTGGTTCAAACATCCCCTCCCTGCCTTTTATTAATCTATCACAGCAGCCTCTCTGTTCTTTCCTCTGAGATGAGCAATGTCCTTTTATCTTCACAGGTCAACGGGAAGGATCTCTCAAAGGCCACCCATGAAGAGGCAGTGGAAGCTTTTCGAAATGCCAAGGAGCCCATTGTGGTTCAGGTGCTAAGGCGAACGCCTCTCAGTAAACCAATCTATGGAGCGGCCCCGGAAGTGCAGCTCATGAACGCCAGTACTCAGACGGACATTACCTTTGAGCACATCATGGCCCTGGCTAAGCTTAGGCCACCTACCCCTCCGGTGCCGGACATCTGTCCATTTCTGCTCTCAGACAGGTATTTCGCTGTCACTTCTCCCAAAGCCCTATTTCTTTTCATTCATCGTTGAGAGGAGGTGTTGGGAAGAATCAGTCACACTAGCCAGTTCACAGTTATTGAGACAGGTGCTCAGTGCTGTTTGGAAAATGTCTCCACTGTGTCTACATCCAATTAGTTGTCAGCTGTCCCTGCTAGCTACTTCCCCTGGCCAGACTGTTGCTTCTCCTCAGGAATCAGACTTGCTGAGGTGCAGTGAAAAATTCGGGCTCTGATTAGTGCATCTTCGTACTTTCAGTCATCAAACACCTTGTGCTCCTCATGAGCACTGGTCAGGGAAATCGCTCTGCTCACCAAAGCTGCCAAGAACCTCATTAAGACTGACACAGAAGTGGCATGTTGGCACTGTGTTCTCCACTGTGGGTCACCTCTCTTTCTCGCTTTTGCTTTTCTCCTCTTTAAAGGAGAAGCTAAGAAATTAATTTAATTACAGTATAATTCTCCAAAGAAAGCAATTACTCAGTATATTGAGATGTAAACAAAAGGTTTTGGCTGTCAGAGAATAAGTATAGAACTATTGAAGGAATCTTCCCAGTTTTTACCTAATGTAAAGGCAGAGGTATTTCATTCAAACAATCCCACTTGTATAGTCTTGGAAGTATGTTCTGCCCCATACATTTTGTTCTATGATCTTTTAAGCAAATAGTCAAACATTACTGAGATTTTGATTTATAAGAGCAATAGTCTCTTTAGACTGCATTTTCATTGCTTACGGATCCATTCTCCACTTAGTAAAACACAGATCTGGTCACGCCACTTCCCCACCCTTTAGTGGCTTTGGTAAGTCTGTTTCAGTGGGTCACATGTGCACATTAGAATCACCTGGGAGCATGGAAAAGCAATATCAATTCATTGCCCAAGTCCCACAAAGTTAATAAGAATTTTGTAGAATGAGGCCCAAGCATTGGAATACTTCAAAAACCCCCCTAGGACCTTGTGATGGGTAGCTATATTTTGGAAACTACTCTTTGAAAACTCCAGTTCCAGGAGAGTAGAGGCTCTGTTTGTCTTGCTTAAGAATTTATTAATTCATCTATTACTTATTAAAGAGCCGCTTATATCAGGCAGTGGGACTTGGTGCTGGGCATAAAACTGGGAACAAAAATAAAGTCACTGTCTCCTAGAGCTCATAGTCTAGAGGGTAAGATAAACAATACCCAAGCACACAAATATTTAATACTCATTAGCATAGCCTGATACAGAATAGCCATTCAATCAATACTTTCTTGAATGAATAATAATAGCTTACATTTATTAGCTTTCCTGACGTATTTTAGGTAATATTCCCAGTGTTTTACATTGATTAACTCATTTAGTCCTCATAAACATTTGGAAGGTGTGTATTATTTTATTACCATATTCATGTCACAGGTGTTGAGTTGGCCAAGGTCACATAGCAAAGAAATGACAGGGCCAGGCTTCTGAGCCAAAGAGGTCTGATGGCTTCTTTAACCAGTGCTGCTCTTCCTAAGCCCACAGGTCTTATCTTAGAGGCAACTCTCCTAGCAAACTTCCTAGGGCTGCAGTAGGGACATCCCCATCATGTGCTTTCAAGGCTTCTGTATTTTCCCCTTAATTATCGCACTATTAAAATTCCCACTTTGCTGCTTTACCCAGTTCATAAGGCAGGAATTAGATTTTGCGCACCAGCCTATTCCCCGCAGTTGGCCTAGGGCCTGGCATCTGGTAGACATGCAGTAAATGTTTATTGAATGAAAAAGGTGTTCCTCCTGGCAGGGAGCCCTTCTTACTAACCGAAGGACAAGGGCAACACATCAGATGGCCCAAATAGCAAGTTTGACGTTTTACCGGCCCAAATAGGCTTTGCAGAGCCAGCCCAGATTAAACAAGGAGGGTTTACCTGTTAGACCCGCAGGCAAGGTGCTTTTATTATTTGGGCCCACATTCCTTAACCCTGTATGGAGCTGACAATAGTGAGAAGAGGCTGGTGGAATATTTACACTGTGTGAAGATAGTAAGATGGTCCTCTCTCTTTTTTCAACTAATGATGAGAGAACTAATTTATACTGCTCACTCCAATATTTCAGAAATGACCACACTGCCAGGGCTTAGAGGTCTCTCCTGCAGTGAACTTGGTTTACTGCACGTAGACTTCTTCATTGACTTTTAGAAATAGAGATGACCGCCCTAGCCAGTGTTGTTCAGTGGATAGAGCATCAGCCTGTGGACTGAAGGGTCCTGGGTTCAATTCCCATCAAGGGCACATGCCTGGGTTGCAGGCTCGATTTCCCAATAGGGGGTGTGCAGGAGGCAGCTGATCAATGATTCTCTCTCATCACTGATGTTTCTATCTCTCTCCCTCTCTCTTCCTCTCTGAAATCAATAAAATTTTTTTTAAAAAAAAAAGATTTACAAATAGAGATGACCTCATGCCCTTTGCTGTTGAACTTTGCTTAGCCTTTGTGTGGTGTAATATATATTCTCTATCATAGCATATAATTGGAAAGCACTTCTACCAATTCTTTAAAACTTTACTCAAAAGTTAAGGGATATATAAAAGTCATGGACAGTGTCTTGGATCCCCCTCATTTCCTTTACTTAATCAGCTCTGTCTGTCCCCAGGAACTTTCCACAGGGATTATGGAACCCTGTGGCTTATATATGCCCTATATACAAGGATTTCTAATGAGGTATTGCCATGAATGTCATGAATATTTGTAAACGTGCCCTTTTTCAAAGAGGATAAAATATGGGTTATGAGAGAGAATGAGGAAGGAGGTCTTAAGGAATGGTAGCATTATGAAAAAGGCAATCTGAAAAATGCATGCTTTGAAAACAGAAGTCAAAAAATAGTTTTGGGCTGTGTATTATGAAATCATCAGCATTTTGTTACAAAAATACCCCCTTTGGGGTACACTGCTATCGCAAATGACGCACACCCATGAATGGAGCGAGTCCCATTTGGTGAAATGCTAGCAGAGCCAGAGAGTGGTAATAAAGCACCATGGCCTGTCACAGAGCTCACATCAGCCTTCACGGAATGCAGCTCTGACCAAGGGCCCTTATCTCAGAATTCTTTCAGAAAATCAAATTGATGGACTTCATGTAGGTGGAGAAAGAAAAGCAATGGGTTATCCTGAGCTGTAGTTCATTTAAAGGCTAGATCAGTACGGGTCTCATTGCAAAGCAGAGAAAACGAAAGTGAAATTCTAAATCAGTTTTAATCTCGAAAACAACCCTTTTGATCCATTTCTATCATCTTGCTACATTCCCCATAGCTGCCATTCTCTTCACCCGATGGAGCATGAATTTTATGAGGACAATGAGTATCTTTCCAGCTTGCCTGCTGATGCAGACAGAACAGAGGACTTTGAATATGAGGTAAGATCATTTTCACACCACTTCACATTTCTTCATGAAGTTACGGTTGAGGCGTTTTGCATAAAAAAGAAAAAATTAATTTATTGCTGTGTGAAATGTTTTGTCTAGTACATCCTATGATAAGGTCTTTAAATATTTTTAGTATTAGCTATTTGACTCTAGTATTATAAGTGTATGTAGAAACATTTTTATAATGTAAGCTTAAAGATAATTTGCTCACATATCTTGTTGCTCTTGATCAATAGTATCATGGCAGCCACATATTTTTCTTCTTTCCATAATAGAAGAAGATTTCCAAGTACAGTTTGGAAAAGAAATTGTATTAAAAACCAAGATGGTACTTATTATTTTTATTCACTATATTGTATTTTAATTTTAATTGATAAACTAAATTTTGTTATATTAATTCCCCTCACAAATTAAATATTCACTTTATTTGTGACCCAAGTTTGTACTCCAGAGAACAGTTCCACCGACTTTCTAGAAAGAGAGATGCCTTCAAGCCCTTTGTCATGGAACTGGCTTTGGCCTTCACAGGGTGTACCTTAGAGTGTCTGTACTGTGATATGTAACAATTCTAAAAGCCCATCTGTTAATTATTTAAGAGCTTTCACAAAAGTTAAAGGATTTATCCTAATATTGCCTCTGCTCCTGCCATCTGTAAATCTTGGAAAGGTTTCAGCCTCCTCTGACATTTGGAAATAAAATAGATTGAGGAGGTAAAGAAGGTTTGGTAAACAGGCAGAGAGCCCATGATTACCTGCCCTTTTAATGCAGTAGATGATGTCATACAAGTTCAGCAAAATGTTCTTTTCCATTTTACAACCAGGAAATCCTGAAATCTCTTCCCTTAGGAGGATGTAAAATCAAATAAAGTCGATTCAGCGAAGCTCACCTAAAGCAAATAGACGTTTATTTGAAATCTTCCCCCTGCAAAAGTCATTTCGGGGGATTACAGAAATCAGTATTGCTTTTCAGCCAGCATCTGGAAGTGTGTGCAGTGATGCCTCGTATCTGAATGGACAGTTTTGTTGTTGTTATTGTTCACATTAATTTTTATCCCCTCCTCTCCGTTAAGTTGATTGAAAAGTTTTATTTTATTTTATGAATCCACTCAAGCCCTGGTATGCACTGAAATATCCATTAAGTCTACTCATGCAAAATGAATTATAAAATTGAGTCACTTATCCCAATAATTTAAGATTAAACAATGTTTTTCTTTCAGTTAATGAATTCTTTGAGTTTGGGGACTGGAATTACCTTCAGCTTTTCATTTAGCTTGTGCCTTAAAGTTTTATTAAAATAAATTTGTGAGCTGAGGGAGGGCTTGGGAGAGAGACTTGCTTAGGCCAGCAGGTTAACAGTAAAAAAAAAAAAAAAAATCCTTTCAATTAATTAGCATGCCATTGAATATTACATTACAGATTTTCTTTCATTTCTAAGTGAAACACATTCTCATTTTTCTTGTTGATCCTCACCAGAAGATATGTTTATTGATTTTAAAGAGAAAGGGAAGAGAGAGAAAGAGAGAGAGAGAGAGAGAGAGAGAGAGAGAGAGACCTTAGATGTGAGTGAGAAACATCTGTTGCCTCCCATGCTCTCTCCGATCCGGGAATCAAACCCACGAACTTTTGGTGTACCATACGAAGCTCCAACCAACTGAGCCACCCGGCCAGGGCGCATCCTCTTTTTTTGAGGGATATGAGTCACTAATAGATGCAGCATCAGTGTGATGACAGTGGTAAATGCTCAGACAAGTCCTCTGTAGCCTGTAATCTCAACTAATCACAGCATTTCAGTCATTAATTTGCTGTCAGCTGTGATTCCTTTGCCAAAGGCACCTGAGTGATTGAAATAAAGAATGTTTCTGTGAAATTTAAATAAGAAAGAAGTTATTGTGACAGGCTTCAATCATGAGAGAGGATGCATTTGAGAACATTATGCCTGGTTCATGGTGGGGATGCAGACATGGGGATAATTTACCAAGTTGGGGAGAATAATGGTTCTACCTAGGGCTTCCCAGCCTGCTACAGTTATGGGGCAGATGTGCACACGCCATCCCGCATGGCTGCATCAGATGAGACTGTGGAATCTAATCAGTCCACCACTGTCGCCAGAGCTGACTGTGGCCACCACATTAAAGGGGGAGATTAAGAAATGCTAATCCGTCTTTATGCGCAGTAAAAAAAAAAAAGAAAGAAAGAAAAAGCTAATTAATTAGCATATCATTGAATATTACATTATATACAGACTGTGCTTCTGTGACCAGCAGAGATGACCCCTGCTCCTCTAGGAGCTAGGAGCTCTGTCCTAACCATGCAGCGCCAGGGACGAGCTGGATGATCACCTTCAGAAGGACCGGCTTTGGGCCACTCAAAGAACATTACAGGAAACTGAGGTCTGACAGCCAAATAAAGCACTTCATCTCAGAGAGAGATACCCATTCCTCCTCCCCCTAGACATGAATACTCTTCACCAGGCCGTCGGGAAGTGGAGAGAAGACCCCTTTCCATCTGCTCTCATTCATTTGCACCATAAGTATTTAATGAGCACATAAAGATGCCAGCTTCTGATTGAAGTTTGGTATTGATGAAGCCCCTGCCCTAGTGGAGCTTAACCTTCAGGGGAGAGAGATGGACAATAATCAAATAAGTGACAACGTAGTATGTTAGGTGGTGCTGGGTGCCAACGGAGAACAGCAAGCTTGAGTACCTGAGAAGGAAATGCATGGTGTTGAGATGAGGTGTTGCTATCTTATACAGGAGGTCCAGGAAGGCCTCTCTCTGAGTCCTCAAGGCAGTAGGAGAGCTAGCCATGGGGATATCTGAAGAGGTGCTTTCCAGATAGAGGGAAGGGAAGTACAAAGGACATGAAGCAGGAGTGTGCTTGGTAGGAGGGGGAGTCAGAGAGAGTAGGGGTCTATCTTGGGGAGCCTTGGATTTACTACAAGATGTAAACTTGCTAGAGAAGAAAGATCAGGGCCATGTTGTGAAGCCCTAGCCCAGGGATGGGAAATGTCTGGCCCATGGGCCATAGAGGGCCCACAAAATCATTTGGTCTGGCCCTGCCAAGGCATTAGGGGTGAGTTAACTAAATGTTGAACCAAATAGAGCAGGATAATTTTTAGGTTGATAAATTTGTATGGCCCTTGAATGATGTTATAAATATCTAAATGGCCCTTGGCAGAAAAAAGGTTCCCCATCCCTGTGCCCAGCCAGATCCCCCTGGCTACTGGAATGAGATTGACAGAGGAAGCCAAAGTGCGAGGGAGAGGCAGATTGGATCCGGATGGTGATGGAGGAGGCACTGAGATGGTCTGAAGGACAGCATCCACCCCACCCAGCTCGCAGGGCTTTGCCCTAATGTCTGTCTTTCCATTACTTGCCTCTGCCTCATCACTTTAATATACTTTAATGCTATGATGGTTTATCTTCTTCTGACTTTTTAAAAGTAAAATAGCACAGGCCAAAGAGTGAAACACAGCTTCTGACATCCACTGAAACTAGCATAGCAAATCCACTCTTTACAAGACTGAAAGTGTACAGAACTGTGTTTCTGAACTTGCTTAAATGCAAACTATGCAATTATGTGGGTCGTTTTTAAAGGCCTACTTACTACTGACTCAGTGAACCAAAGCTGACCCAGCTATCTTGTGAATATATAGTTAGGGACTTTCAGTGCTTGGGTTGTTGACCCCATAGACCAAACCAGACCTGACGGTCTTGTAAATACATATTTGGGGACTTTTTGACTTGCAGATTGCTGCACTGATAGACTGTAACCGCCCCCTTCAGAGCCCTGGTGGACCGCAAATGCTTCTTTGGAGATGTGATAGTCAGTGTGTCAGTGTTATGGGGACTGCGGTATGTTATGGACCTCTGTAATATATTAATGACACCCATATCTCACCACAGCCCATCACCCCTTTACCTCAGAAAATTATTTGATTGGGTTTCAAATTTCCCCACGGTGCTTCAGAAAAGTCTCCAAAGACCAGCCTGCATTAAACGACTCACAGCTTGAAATTTGTTCTCTTTAAAAAAAAATGATGGCATTTGTTCTCTAATTAAAAATGATAAAGGGCTTTAATTTTATTTTTGAGAGGAAAAAATAAAAATGCTTTTAAATTTAAACAATGCCACCTTCATGGATGTTTATGCCACCGAAATGCCACTGAGTATTTCGTCTCCTCTTCTTTATTTTCAACTTTGCTCATTCTTCCCCCAGAGCCAGCTAAAGGTTGAAATAAATCATAAATAGCCCTTAGCAAGTCAGAGGCAGAGCTCAAATCCAGCCTCTACCAGAAATAATTTAAAGGGAAAAGCTTTGAGAAATGTAGCGCTCTTTTGTCCAACTCCTAATAAAGATACGTTTGCTACTGCTTTAGTTGCAAGATGAATTTTTTGCAGTATTTGCCACTAACACTCAAAAGTCAGTGCTGGGAGAGGCAAGACAACTAATCAGTGCAACATTTTGATAATATGGAACATTCACATTAACCAAGACAAGCAAAAATAATTTAAGCAACATTTCTGAGCCTGCAGATATTCGTCACTTAAAAATCCTACTTGAAATCATTTCTCCTGATCTCTCCAAGCTCAGGCTGAAGAAAACATATCCAACAGCCTCAATTAAGTATAGTTAGGGTTCCCCTTATGTGTGCATTGTCATCGAAATGAAAAGGCATTTAGCACTTTGCTTGAAGAGGTATTAAAGGTGGAAAGAAGGACAAGTATATGTCAGAGTTCTGTGAACATGTTAACTGAAAACCAAACCAGTGTCTATAAATAGAAAAGAGCATTTAGCATATTAATTAGCTTCCTCTTAGCAGTTCTTATGCAAAGCATAAGTAAACCTTTGTGCTGTGCTGAGAAGTGTCCTTTTGCAAAATTTAGCTGGATGCCTGTGAATATGTGCAAAATTTAAGTATATAATCTCTCTCTTGAATAGTTGAGGAAAAGAGAAATATGAATCAAGGACCCGTTCATTCAAAAAATTAA